TGAACCATAATGTTCTCTAACTTGGCTGTTTGGTACATTGTGTGCATGTGTTCCAGGTGAAGAAACAAACAGATATCCCTGAATAACAATTTATACAATAATGTGAGGGCACAAACTACAATTAAGGCGAGTTTATATGATGATTATGTACATTACGCCATAAAACATTAAATCCATTCTCTCAGTAATAACATTTCATCATCGGCTTCTGCTCTTAGAGAGAAGCCCCACCTGAAAACCTAAAACTCCCATTCAAAACAAACGTTGAAAATGAGATAAAAGAGTTGAAGTAAAAGAATGGAAACTTGTTACTATTGTTGCAAATAGCGTAACTTAAAATATATTGTTATTTTTCACAGTCTACGTTATGTCGTTGGCATTGTTGCACGTAGTGTCTTTTACCTTCTGGAGATATACGAAAACAAACAAACGAATGACAGAGAGTCGGTGATCCAGTGATCAACCAAGGAAAAGATTCAAGGCAACATAGTAGAATTCTCCATTGACTTACACGAAAGAATCAAATGGTTACCGCATTTGAACTTGTGTATGTATAGTTTGAGTTTGTGACCTAGCCAAGGAACAGCTGAACCAAACAAGACCTAGCTAAGGAACAGCTGAACCAAACAAGACCTAGCTAAGGAACAGATGAACAAAACAAGACCTAGCTAAGGAACAGATGAATAAAACAAGACCTAGCTAAGGAACAGATGAACAAAACAAGACCTAGCTAAGGAACAGATGAACAAAACAAGACCTAGCCAAGGAACAGTTGAACAAAACAATACCTTGTCTAAAAAAGCCACGCCCTTGCAGTTGTTTAATCGTATGCTAGTTTGTATTCTAAAAATGAGCATCCAGGTTTGTTTCAGTGGTCATGTTTTGGCAAAACCTATGTATAAAACCTAGAAACAATTACTGTCATTTATAAAACGTTATTTATTGTCTTCTGAACCTTTACTCTGACTACTTTGAGCAAATTTTTATTTTTAATAATTTATGCAAGATAACAATCTAAAACACTCAAGGTTGTAATAACATTCTTCTTTAAAAAATCTACTCACTATCTACAGTATGGAAAAGGGCTTTTTTATATAATAATCGAGCGTTAGTATAACATCGGACAAGTTACATCCAGTATAGTCTGAGGCAGCAAATGAGTTTTATCAATGATAAACAAAGTGTTAAGCATTGTGGATAACACCGCAAATAATGTTCTGACACATTTTCAGTTATAGTTTTGGCGTGATATGATTTTTTGTTAGTTATTTTGTGTGTATGTATAAAACAAAATAACTCATATCACATTATTTAAATATAGAAGAATCACTCATGTCAAAGATTTTGGGTTATAGTTTATTCTGGAAGTTTCGAGGGCAATCCACCCTTGAGTATTTATATTCACTAGTGACTGAGGGGTAAAAAGTAGAGCGTAAAGGGACTATTATTGTTTTTGTTATTAAGCACAAAGCTACACAAAGGGCTATCTGTGCTCTGCCCACAACGGGTATCGAAACCCAGTTTCTAGCTGTATAAGTCCGCAGACATGCCACTGTGCCAATGGGGGGATAAAGTGACTGTCTCTCTCTTTGGGAATAAGTGTTCGACTTGTTGTTCAGCGCAAACCTGCGCAATGAAATGTCTGTGCTATCCCCCAAATCTTAGCGTTTATAAGTAAATACCATCTATCATTTTTGTCGTACTCAGAGAAAGTGGGGTTTCTAAAAGAGTTGTTTGCAGCAACACTTACAATATTGGATTTTAAAAGTCAATATAAAATGTCAGTGTGTAAGCACTAAAACTTCTTCATTATACAGTTCTTATTCATGTGTGTAAGAGCGTCCATCTACGAGTTAACACTAAACACCGGTGGCTATAACGAATGAAATTACCCATTAAACGTGGCAAAGAAACGACATATTGACGTGATAATAATAACATAAGAAAGCCGTAGTGTCCAATGAACCCTAGTTGTTCTTTGGCAAGAGCTAGTTTTTTGTTCTTACTCTTGTTCAAGTTAACCCTATGATGAAGCTCTACATTTCGAAGCTATTGAGCCAGATTCAAATTCATGCGATACCACAAATTATTCCCCGCGCTTTAAGCTGTGAGAGCGATATAAGAGTGACAGTCAATCCCTTAGCATGTGGTACGGTACTTCTGACAGACTGCTTCCATTTGGCTAATAGTTGAAAATTATGAACGGTTGCAGATAGGCTTACTAGTTTTGCCATAAATACAAAAGTAGTTGTTTTCTGTTTGTTTGTTTTTGTTGAAGATCCTCATATTGATCAACTTTATGTTTTTCTAAGGGCCAGACTTTCGGGCATTTCGTATTTTTACCCGAATTGTACCTTATGCAATATATGAGCTAAACGGCAAGGTCAGAGACCCCAAAACTTACGCACAGCCATTGATAATTTAGAACTGTGAGCAGAAGGAGGGCAGTTAGTTAATAACACCTGCCGCCAACACGACTATTATTGGACGAAATCAGACTTTTTTTGGGATACCTTGTATATTTGTATAGTAAAAAATAATATATTTTAAAATGTGTTAAAACCTATACTGACAACTAACGTACACTTCAAAAGAGACAAGAACAATGGAATTCATAATTCAATTCATCTTTTAAGCAGTAAAATTCTGATGAAAGAGTTACGCACGACACTGAATGATACACCTGGATTAATCATGAAAATGCAAATTTCTAGGAAAGAGTTAAGTATTAAAGCATAATAGGTAATGATAATTTTTATGCAAGCTTTAAATAGCTAGCCGTTTATTATAGTGACTCAATATTACATTACTTCTAATATTTTCAACTTTTTGTTTTTCTCCGAAAATCTAGTATGTTTAGCTCAACTTTAGAATTACATGTGAGTCCATGACTTTATTAGGTGCCCCCCAGTGACACAGCGGTATGTCTGCGGACTTACAACGCTAGAATCCGGGTTTCGATACCCGTTGTGGGCAGAGCACAGATAGCCCATTGTGTAGCTTTATGTTTAATTACTAACAAACAAACAACCAAGACTTTATTAGGTAGAGGGTCTCTAACAGAGTCGGAAAAAATATACAGAAAGACCGTCGAGAGTCCAGTTAAACCTACTAATTACTGTTAAGGTTCCCTATATACTATACATAGAATATGAATTATACCACTAAATTCTTGAGTCACTTCTTTTCATTGAGTCTTACAGAGAAATGAAACATAATTTTATTGTTCCGTAGAAAACGTTACTGCCATAAACTACAGTTGTAGCAGAAGACCAGTCACTCTCCGTGGAAAACGTTACTACCATAAACTAGAGCTGTAGCTGAAGACCAGTCACTCTCCGTGGAAAACGTTACTACCATAAACTAGAGCTGTAGCTGAAGACCAGTCAATCTCCGTTTAAACGTACTACCATAACTACAGTTGTAGCAGAAGACCAGTCACTCTCCGTGGAAAACGTTACTACCATAAACTAGAGCTGTAGCTGAAGACCAGTCACTCTCCGTGGAAAACGTTACTACCATAAACTAGAGCTGTAGCTGAAGACCAGTCACTCTCCGTGGAAAACGTTACTACCATAAACTAGAGCTGT